AAGGGGGAACTGTAATAAACATAAATCTCAGGGGGTGTCAGTATAATTTACTCAAAAAAATATGTGTATAACTATAACGGAACGAAACGGTCAGTTGGTGAATTATAAATTTTAAAATTTAAACTGTAGTTAGCAGTTAGAATGGTGCGAATTGATGCGGATCGATGCGATTTCAGCAAATTAAACGGTATTTTACACAGCCTACTTACGCCATTGCTAGGGAACACCACGTTAGCTAGTTTCAGTATCTTTATGGATTTGTGGATGTTAGGATAGTATTGGCTACGCTGGCTGTTTTTTGGGAGTCCGGATCCCCTCCTTGCAATCCTCCTTGTAACGGCTGAGATCAGCTGTTACAACATCCAACGATCATAAAAAAATAAATAAATAAATAAAATAAAGAAATTGAAATCAATCGTTAGATTCTGTCGCAAGGAGGATTGTAAGGGGAGGATCCCATCTCGTTTTTTGGTGCTTCGGTGTCTCCGGGTCGTGGTTAGGTCATTCATTTATTTTCCTTTCTATCAATTTAGGTCACTTTGAAATCAATATGTTTGTTCTTCTTTTTTTGATAACCATGTTCTTTGAAAGTTGAAACATCAATGACATGTTCCTGGCCCATGTGTATATTCATCAATGCCAGTCGGTGCTGTGTGCCAAAGTGCACATGATTGTGTTGTTTTCATGCTGATTAACTTCTTGGCCTCAGCTCAAAAAAATAACTTCTTGGCCTGTTTTGTTTTATGTTTATTACCCAATATGTGCATATTTAAATATTCATGTCATGTTTAAATCTTGAATTTATGAAAATAATAAAAAATGAAAGAGAAGATATAAAAAAAAATGGGAAGTAGAAAAATTAATTGCAAATTCATGAAAGTACAGCATTTATTTGCATAATCTAGTGCATAAATTACTTGTACTTTCATGAGTTCATTTGAAAGTATAGCATTCATTTGCATAATCTAGTGCATAAATTACTTGTACTTTCATGAGTTTATAATTATTTTTTCAACTTCCCACTTTGTTGATATCTTCCCTTAGGAAGACGATAATAAAGCTAAGGGCCTATTTATTTTCAGAGGTAGAATGGAGGGATTCATAGTGAGGGGATTGTTAGTGAGAGGATTGATAATAAAGGGATTAAATAAAATTGTGTTTGTTTTGATGATAGTTGTTAGTGTAAGAATTGTTAAATTATTTTTGTATAAAATAATAAAACAAATACAAAAAATTAAACATTAATGTTCAAAAAAAATGCCTAACATGTAAAAAATAAAAAATTTAGTCCAGCAGACTATTTTTCTAATACCACCTCTACCTCCTCCATCCCAATTCTCCTTTCAACCTCCATCCTAATCCCCTCCCCTATCTCAATCTCTTCCCTAACTCTACAAATAAATACAACACTAAATAGATTCCACCTCCATCATAATCCCATCCCACCTTCTACGCCCCAAAACAAACAGGCCAAGAGAAATAAATTCAAGCTTGAGATGATTTCGTTTTCCCGTTCTTTCTTTTATTTTTTATATATTTTTTTTCTCATAAAAGGAGAAAGAAGAAACTGTGTGCCAAACTAATGAATTGAATTCGAAGGACTTGACCATAGCCCATTTTAGTCAAAATCTTTGTGCTTTTTCTAGGGGGTAATTTCTGTGGGGACTAGTAGTTTCAAGTTTCAACCATTTGGACCAAGCCAACTCTCATCAGTTTCAAATTTGATGTCAAATGTTTCTAGTTAAGGCATCAGCAACATAATATGTTCCCCTTGCATGATGTTGGTAGATAGATAGTGTGAATACCCACATGAGAATTTGACATCAAGGCCAAGTTTGGCAACTTAAAAAAAAAGTTAAAAAAGTTAAAAAGTTATTCAAAAATTTAAAAAGTTATTATTATTTATCAAAAGTCAAAAATTACGGCTGCACAACTCTCAATCTTAATTTTTTCTTAATTTATATAATTTTTTAATATACATTTTTTCATAAAAAGTTAAAAAATTAACCCAAATATTTATATTTTTTTTAATCTTTTAATCTAAAAAAATAAAAAATACACTTATTTAAAATATCCCAAACAATCCCATCTCATAGTATTTATTTAGAGCACTACTTGGATTTACTTCATGAATATTGAATTGACCTCAATCTGATGAGTTTGACTCGGGGGCAGATGAACATGACAATTTTGGAAAAATTTTGAAAGTTATATCATGTTATATCGAATTTTATTTATGTTGTATTTGGTTGGAAGATTTAGAAATAGATTTAGAAATGGAAAAGAAAAGAAAAAAAAATGTGTGAAACTAAATGAAACGTAAATATATTTTATTCACATTTTATTGTGTTTGGTTAGGAGATTTAGATACAAATTTGAAAATGGAAAGGAAAAGAAAAAAAAAAAGTATGTAAAATTAAATAAAATGTAAATATATTTTATTTACATTTTTTTTTTCTTTTTTTTTTTTCTTTTCAATCTCTTTTTAAATCTCACAATAAAACACAGGGCTAAGAAGAAATAATGTGACCCAAGAAAATTTATAGGGGAAACACCGCTTTAAGAAGAAATAGATGTGGCCCAAGAAAATTTATAGGGGGGATAATGTGAAGAATGGTAGATGAGATGGAGATTCAGACGTGGCTACCTTATCCACATCTTTTTTTTTATCTCCCTTTTGAGTACACTTATTGGAACTGATCAGTGACACGTTACATCAATTATAATTTCTTTATTTTTTTTTTGGTTAGACATCAATTATAATTTCTCTCAAACTTGAAACTCTCATTTGGGCAGACATTGTTGCCTTCTTCTACTTCTTTCTTTTCGAAATGTCTGCTAACTAATATGCAAAATCTTGGTGTACTCCTTTTTGATGGAGAACTTCGAGAAGCCAAAAAGGAACAGTCTGAAATTTAATTAGTCAAAATCTTATTTTTGTATACAGAGATATATAGATCAGTCTTTGCTATGATATCTATAAACTGGATTTTAATATATATATATATATATAACCGTGTCTGTCTGTGGGAGCATGCATGCATTGCATGGAAGTTGTGGGCTGCTGCGCTGCTTCTCTCATTGCATATCCTCTTCATCATCTTTCTCAATTCTCCTCTCCATTTATTTCAAATATATTTATATATATTCAAATGTCATAAAATTTCTTTCGTTGCATCTTATAAGGTTAACTTAGGTCTTGTTTGGAAATTTAATTTTTAATTTTATTAAAAAAATTAATCATGTACACTTGTCATCGACCCTTTTTTTTTTAAAAAAAAAATCATTTTTGGACATATTTTTTTTTCATTCCATAAAAAGACAAAAAAAAAAACCATTTCCCAACTATATCCTTTTCAATTATAGGTAGACAAAAATAATGTGTCATAACTATTGTATACAATATAACCAAAAGTTTTTCAATTATAATTAAAATAATAATTTCATAATTAATACTACAATGAATCATAACTAAATTATATGGCATAATATTAGGACAAATTACAAACACATTTCCTAAGATTTGTTTACAAATTGTCCGTATAGTTTTAAAAATTACACCCCATCTCCTTAACTTTATAATTTCATAACAAATTATTCATTTTATTAATAAATTATCAAGTTAAGTAATAATTTTTAATGATGTCATAAATTTATTTCAATTATTAATTTAGGTAATTTTATTAGAGAACCGCTATGCCCACTTCACTTTGTTCCAAATATATTCTATTTTTTGTCCTTATTATACATAGTTATATTAATATCCTTTCACACAAAATCACTCTCTGAAAAACCAAAATTCTAAAAGTATTAATGTAATTATGTATAATAAGGTCAAAGAATAAAGTGTAATGGCTCTATTTTGTTATTTTATAATAGAGTAATTAGAAATATCACTTTTTTTTAGTTATTCCGTTAAATAAAAAATTTTAATAAGAGAATATTTGTAATTTTTTAAATCAAAATAGATAATTCATATTTTAAATAAAATCTCAATAAACGTATTTGTAATTTACCCTAAATATTATCATAATCAAAGATTACAAATGACTAAATTTTTGTTAAAAAAAATCATGGCTATGAATATCTATAAATGCAATTTTTCCAATTTGGTAATGGAATTTAAGGGTAATAAACGAATCAAACAATTCGAGCTCGATTCATGTATAGCTTATTAAAAGTTTGTTCGAGTTTGGTTCATTAAATAAATAAGTCAAATTTAAATACATTTCAGAATTTGTTAAGATTTTCAAACCAAACTTAAACAATCAATTGCTCGTTCGACTCAATTCAACAAATCAAACTATATAAAATATCAAACTATTCGAATTTGGCTAGATAAAAATTTGTTTGAGATCGACTTCAAAAATTAACGAATCAAACTTAAATAAATTTTTAAACTCGTTAAAATTATGAAACCAAATTTAAACAATTCAGCTCGTTCAATTCATTTATCACTCTCAGTGAGACTTACTAGATTAAAGGGTTTTTTTTAAAAAAAATAATTTATAAGTTAATTTTTTTTATTTATCATAAAAAGATATGTAAAAAATAAAGAAATCACATGATTTAAATAAGTCGATAAAAAAATTATTTATCGTATCACGAAACAAGCTTAAGGCTTGTTTTGGAAGTTGGTCTTGACCTTTTTGACATGTAAGTTAAAAGTTAATTTATTAATTTTTTTAATTTTTTTGAGTCCTATTTTCTCTATATATTTTTGCACGTTTTTGAAAAAAAATTAAAAAATTAATTTTTAATCTATTTTTTTATTATTTTAATCTGATTAAAATAATTATACTTGAAAATTAATTGACTTTTTTTAATTAATTTGATAATTGTAATAAAATAAAATAATTTTAAATTAAATATGTCATTTTATCTTATTAATTATTTTAATTTATTTTATTTTTTAATCAATTATTTTAACCCAATTTTCCTCTCAAACCCTCCCTTCCTTTATATACGCCCTCGTGCCGACTGCGACACCATCTCCTCCGTCAAAAACCACGCGTACCCTTCCTTTGTATACGCCCTAACCTCCCCTATTTATCCCTCTCTCTCTCTCTCTCTCTCTCTGTGCTCTATTAGCTGTCGGCCGTGTCCCAAACTTCGCCCCTTCCCTGCGTCTCTACACAGAATTGCCGCGATTTGATTCGCCATTAAAGCTCAGATCCAAAACCTAGAGTTCTGTTTCTCTTTCGTAGAGGTCGTGATCGGACTCGCCGTTTAAATTTTCTCCGAATCGCATTTTTTGCCTTCTTTGTCGGTATGTTGATAATCTCTCTCTCTCTCTCTCTCTCTCTCAATATTTTCGTCGGTGTCTTATTGATGTTAGTTATATGAAAAATGTTGTTTCTTTGAGGCATTATATGCATAAAACATGGGGGAAATAACATTTCTATGTTGGTTTGTAAACAGAATTTCAAATTACTGATATCTTTCGAAATTTGTTCCTCATGTTGGTGATCGTAATTAGGGAAAATCCTTCGTCTTTTTTTTTTTTTTGTTTTTGGGAAGGAATCAAAGAAATGGCTTCTTTTGTGGAGCTATTTTTTCAGGATGTTTAATTTGGGCTCTCAGTTTCTTTCTGAAATTTCTACAGCAGGTTTTATTTTCCAGGAAGATTTTTTCTTCTGTCTGTTGGTTGATGCATTCATAAATCAGAAAATTGTGCTATGGGATTTTATAAATTATCTAGCTTTTTTTGAAGCATAACAACCGAATGAAGTGACAATCTATATATATTGTCGTTCTAATATGTCAATTAAGTTCTTGAACCTCCCCAGTTGTCTTTTTTCCGAAGATTTGTTTGTTAAACCAATTTTTTTGTTGCTTTTTTTAATCAATGAAAACTGTTAACAAAGCTTCTACCAATAAAATTTGTCTCTTGTTGCAAAAAATATATGCAATGAAAATTTGGCTTTGTTTTGAGTAGTTGCGGCTAACCACCCTAGGAAGCTATGATGAGCTCAAACTTTATTGAAGTCTGTTTATCGTGCATTGCGTATAGTTCTCGAGATTTTCATGGGTTTGAAATAACTATGATTGGCTAGTTGTAACTTATATATAAATTTTTTTAGGGCAGTGGGAACTAAATGAATTAAATATTCGTAAAGGTTGATTATTCACACGCCAGTTGTTGAGTCTTTTAAAAGTAATATTTAAATTTGCCCTTCTGTCTGCCACCTTATCCACGCACGAGAGAGAGAGAGAGAGAGAGAGAGGGAGATGTTGGTGCAAATTGTTTTCATTTTTCCTCTAATAATGAAGGGCTAGATGGATGTAGTTCAGAAAATTGTTCTTGGTATAGATTTATTTACAAGGTTCTTACTAATTTCCACTACAAAGCAGAAATTTATTTAACCAAATGTCTGCTGATAAATTTACAAGTTCATCACCCTAGGGGGTCAGGTCACAATGGAAAATTCAATGCCTTCCTAATTTAATTTTTTAATTATGTTTCATGGGGCAACTTACTGCATAACAGAGAGTAGTTTAATTCCTTTCATTCCATGTCTCTTGCTTTTATATTGTGTTCAAAATTTTGATGATTAATTAATGGCATAGAAGTCAAAGCATTTCTTATCCATGGATATGAACACTGAATGGCGGAATCTTTTTTGGGAGGGAATTCAGGCACCCGTATGCTCCTAGCTTGTTTTCTTCCTTCACCTCGCCTTTACTGATGCTTTTGTCGTTTTGATCGCTTCCATTAGTTTAATAAAATTTGGTTTAAATATAATCACACCATTGCTTCTTGTTGTGATTATAATACTATGCAGCTACTTATGTTTTAATAACTCTAGCAGGTTGCTGGGTTACAGTTGGACCTTGATATTTACTCTTGTAGATGTGATATTATTTACACACATTGTCTGCAAGTCACAACTTTTATATTTTGGAAATTTTTTATGATTAATTAATGGCACAGAAAACTGAATATTGCTGCAGAGGTCAGAGCGGTATTTCTTATCCTTAGATATGAACGGTGAATGGAAGAACCTTGGTTTTTTTACAAGGGAGTTCAGGCACCCAACCTAGGAGTGTTCACCTGCCTTCCCCAATGATTCTGCCTTATTGATGCTTCCATTAGTTTAATAACAAATTTTTTCGAAGTATTCACCATTACTTCTTGTGATTATAATACTGTCCAGCTACTTTTGTTTAGGAAAATGTTTGGTAGCTCAAAATTTTGTGGCTCAAATGGCTCAAATCTATCAAAACGACGTCATTTTACACTCAAAATCTGTCAAAACGACGTCGTTTTGACAGATTTGAGCCATTTGAGCCACAAAATTTTGAGCTACCTAGCATTGTTGTTTTGTTTAATAACTCTAGGGTGGTACTTGGTTACAGTTGGATCTTGATCTTGACTATTTGTATATGTGATATTGTTACACGCATACAGACATAATTGTACATTTATTGACATTATTACTCACTTATCAGACAAATGTTTTAATTTGATCTTTATTCTAAGAACGGTCATTTTTTAAACAGATCCGATGGCATATGAACAAAATCACCAAGAACATATAGCGCAATTTGAATCCGATGGAGATGTTTCGATAAAGCAAAAGTGGAAATCAGTTTCATCCCCAGCAACGGCTTCAGAAAACGTAACTGGCTGCTTTGATTGCAACATTTGCCTGGACTCAGCTCATGAACCTGTGGTCACCCTGTGCGGTCACCTCTACTGCTGGCCTTGCATTTACAAGTGGCTCCATGTCCAAACCACCTCCTTCGAAACAGTGGAGGACCCCAAGTGTCCAGTCTGCAAGGCTAACATTTCCCAATCATCATTAGTCCCGTTATACGGGCGCGGAACATCTTCGTCTGAATCCAATGCCAAGAGTCACCACCTCGATGTCATCGTACCTCATAGGCCTCGTGCTCTTGGGGTGCACACTCTGGTAACCGCTGCAACCCCAATGACTTCCCATCCAAATCAACCGCTTCACACTAATCCTTTCCAGTCACAGTCACAGCCTCAGCCATTTCATCACCCACAATACTTCCCTCACGCTAATGATAATTATGCTTCCATGACATCAGCTAACTTAGGCAGCACGACAATGACTAGCATCTTCAGTCCAACAGTTGGGGTGTTTGGAGATTTGGTCTTTGCAAGGATGTTTGGGAGCTCAGATGCGAGTTTGTTTTCTTATCCTTACTCGAATGCTTACCCTCTCGCAGGAAATGGTGGCCCTAGGATGAGGAGGCATGAGATGCAGATTGATAAGTCTCTCAACAGAGTTTCTATCTTTCTTTTCTGTTGCTTTGTTTTATGCCTTCTCTTGTTCTGATTCTCTCTCCTTTCCTACTGTGTTTATATCTGTAAAAATTATGGCATTAAACTCGTAAACAATTAGGACTCGGATAGATTGATTTTCATTACCCAAGAGATATACTAGGATGAGGGATCTCTTATGAGATTGATGTTTGCCTCCTGTAAATCAGAGATTTCTATGATTTTATATTTTTGTTGCCACTAAAAATGGTTCAATTTTTCAGTGCTATGTGGTTCTTACTTGTTGCTTGCTTTTATCTTGATAAATGTCTACATTCTAGGTTCAAAAATAGAATTGGGGTCTTTATTCTTCTATTTTCTTATCTCAAACATATTAACTATAATTACAATAATGTTAAGATAATTATATTTTGTTTATTGATTCGTTATTTAGTTTTACATTGGTTTAATAGATTGGGGGTGTTCGGTGTAGTTATTAAAATAAGTTGTATATTATAGCTTAACAGATTATAGATTATAGTTTTAATCAGAAATTATTAATCTGTTTGGTATAACTATTGGATTATAGATTTAAGTTGTTAAATAGTGTTTGATAAATAAACTGTAAAATAGTTTTTTGATGTGTAAATGTCATTTTTACTTTGTTAATTGTAAATTGAACTAACTTTTGTTAGTTGTAAATTGAATTAATTTTTTTTTTTATTATTCACTATTAGTCCACATTTTTTATTAAAAAAAAAATAATCTAGAGTCTATCTGGGTTTTTTTTTGTTATTATTTTCACAAAAAAAAAATTAAGGGTATAATAGTAAATTAACATGTATACAGTAAAAGTTGATAATTAAAAGTAGGGAGCTTTTTTCATAAATCCATTTTAATTATTTATGTTCCATCCAATCTATATTCTTTTTGACTATTCCATTAGGTCCTATTTGAGATAAGAAGACCAAAATATCATTTTTATCTACTTATGTTCTATTTAGTTCATTTTATTTTCTTATGTTTCAATAAGTCCTATGGGTGACATAATTACCAAAATATCCCTAATGTGAATGTTCACACCGTCAATGTGAATGTTCATATCGTCAATGTGTAGGGGCCGGGCCAATGTACAATGTGAATATTCACATTGACATGTTAACATTCACATTGATAGGAATGTAAAATTAGCCCGCGGCCCGGGGCGAGCCCGATTCGGCCCGTGACAATGTAAATATTCACATTGACATATTAACATTCACATTGATAGGACTGTAAAATTGGCCCGCAGCCTGTGGGCGGTCGAAGCCCGCCCGTTGCCGGGGCGGGCCCGACCCATTGATAATGTGAATATTCACATTAACATGTTAACATTTACATTGATAAGAGTATAAAATTGACTCGCGTCCTACGGGCGGCCCGGGGCGAGCCCGGCCCGACCCGTGACAATGTGAATATTCACATTGACATATTAACATTCACATTGATAGGAGTGTAAAATTGGCCCGGGGCCCGTGGGCGGCCCGAAGCCCACCCACTGCCCGGGGCGGGCCCGGCCCGGCCCGTGACAATGTGAATATTCACATTAACATATTAACATTCACATTGATAGGAGTGTAAAATTGGCCCGCAGCCCGAAGACGACAGCCTCGGGTCGGGCCGGTGGGCCTAGGCCGGGCTTGGGCTGGCCATTTTTTTTAATTCTTTTTAATTTTTTCTACCAAAATTTTATTATTTTCCACAAAAAAAGACATTTTGCCTCAAGCGGGCTGGGCCTCGAACCGAGCCTTGAATGGGCCTTAAGCGGGCCGATGGGCCAGGCCGGGCTTCAAAGTGATGGTCTAGGCCCTAGCTTAGGGTCTTGGACATGCTCTGGCTCGGACCCAAACGAGCCTGCCCTGGGCAGGCTTCGAGCAGCCCACGGGCGGCGGGCCAATTCTATATTCCTATCAATGTGCATATTAACATGTTAATGTGAATATTCACATTGTCAACGGACTGGGCCGGGCCTACCCCGGGCCGCGGGCGAGCTTCGGGCAACGGGCAAATTTACACTCCTATCAATATTAATGTTAACATGTCAATATAAATATTCACATTGTCAACAGGCCGGGACGGGCCCTCCCCGGGCCGCCCACGGGCTTCGGGCGGGTTTCGGGCAGCCACGGGGTACAGGCCAATTTTATACTCTTATCAATGTGAATGTTAACATGTCAATGTGAATATTCACATTGTCAACAGGCCGGGCCGAGCCCGCCCCGGGAAGCCCATGGGCGGCCCGGGTTTGGGTCCGGGCCTACCTCGGGCCGCGGGCGAGCTTCGGGCAGCGAACAAATTTTACACTCCTATCAATGTTAATGTTAACATGTCAATGTGAATATTCACATTGTCAACGGGCCGGGCCAGGCCCGCCCCGGGCCGCGGGCGGGCTTTTGGCCCCCACGGGACGCTGGCCAACTTTATACTCTTATCAATGTGAATGTTAACATGTCAATGTGAATATTCACATTGTCAACGGGCCGGGCCGGGCCCGCCCCAGGCCGCGGGCGGGCTTTTGGCAGCCCATGAGCCGCGGACCAATTTTATACTCTTATCAATGTGAATGTTAACATGTCAACGTGAATAGTCACATTGTCAACGGCCCGGACCGGGCCCGCCCCGGGCCGCCTATGGGCCGCGGGCAGATTTCGCACCGCCACGGGACGCGAGTCAATTTTACACTCCTATTAATGTGAATGTTAACATGTCAATGTGAATATTCACATTATCAACGGGCCGGGCCCGCCTCAGCTCGCAGACGGGTTTCGGGCCGCCCACGGGCCAATTTTACATTCCTACCAATTTGAATTTTAAAATATGAATGTTCACATCATAAAATTGCTAACCATTCAAAAAATATTTATAAGGGTATCAAAATTAAATATAAGGACATAAATGTCCAAGAAAATAGTGTAAATCAAGAAAAAAGACTTTATGGAATAAAACTATACATACATGGGACTAAATGGGTTAAAAAATTCCTTCATAGACCTCTTGGGTTAAAACACTTCTAAATGAGATTTATCAATAATTTTCCCTTAAAAGTAGGGATGGATAATTTCTCAAAATCAATTTTTTTAAATTAAAATAAATTTTTTAAATCAAAAATTAATTGAAATAATTTTAATCAAACAGTTTAAAATAATTTTTTTGGGTAAATTACAAATACACCTTTTGAGATTTGGTTAAAGTATAGATTGTCCCCTGTAGTTTGAAAAATTACAAATACTTTCATGTTAAAAATTTTTATTTAACAGAATTAACTTAAAAAAAATTCATAATTGCTCTTCTATACAATAATAAAATTACCTAAATTATTAATTGAGACATATTTATAATATCATTAAAAACTGTTAATTGACTTGATAATTTATTAATAAAAAGAGCGATTTGTTATGAAATTAAAAATCTCAAGGGGTAACATATAATTTCTAGAATCACAGAGGGTAATTAATATTTTAATCAAACTTCAAAAGATATATTTATAATTTACCTTTTTTTAAAAAAATTAAAATAAATCACACCAAACATATACCAATGAAACTTACATAACTATCATTAATATCAAACACGTCATCATGAATCGAATGGGATATGCAAGGAAAGATTTTACGGTGGTATTATATAAATTAGTTAATGTATTAATTAATATATCAATATTAATTATAATATTATTATTGAACTTACCTTTTAATTACATTATAAATATTAAAAATTCTTAAACTATATCACATTAGGAAAATGATTTAGAGCTCGAATATTTTGGCTCGAAATGGCTCGAAACTTTGAAATCACGCGTTACTTCTATAGTGATCCCGGGTTTACCCTTGTTGTACAGTGATCCGGACACGTGTCCGTGGATGTTGGTGGTTGTTTATTATCTTGTTTGCATCCTCTTTACTTTGTATATTGAGTTATGGGATGTGTTGGGCAGGTTTGTAATCTAAAATTCCTTACTTGCTCCACCATATTATTTTTGTCGTTTGCTTTTTGTTCACTGTTTTCAGTGTTTGTGGTCGCTTTTAGTGAGAGGGAGTTTGCTTTATCATTTTGATCATCATGTCATTGCTTGTGTGGTTTCTAATCTTGGTTTAGTTGATTGAGCTTCCTTTGTCAATTCATGACAAAAAGGGGGAGTGAGGTTGTCCGGTGCATGTGTCTTAGGTTTCATCTATTCATACTACATGTTTTTAAAATCTCCAAGTCGCATTTATTCATGTTTTCTATCTCATGCTTCAAGATAATCTTGTCTTATGTTTATTTTTTTTTCCTATACTCTTGTGGGACTAATAGTTGTTTTGGAGATTGTAGCACTAATAACTGTTTTGCAGATCATGACCTTGAGAAAGAAGTTGGCTGAGCGAGAGTTTTCTGTGTCTGGTCGCTCGAGCGACAAAGGCTTCGCTCGAGCGAGAGGGTTTTATATCAGCGGACAGTAGCGATTTTGAACTTCACTTTTTCACTTTCTTTTTTGATCAAACCCTAGATTCGAGACCCTCTCTCTCTAAACTTACACTCCCTCTAAGAATTGATCTCCCTAGAGTGTGAATCTAGCCTAGGGCCTTTGTTAAAAAGATAGAGGGCGTTGAGAGCTTTGTTTTAATCTGAAAAAGTTGGGATTTGGAACACGTTGATCTTCTAGTCTTCATCTCCTTTTTGGCTCAAACTTCGAGGTAGGGATATCCTACTCATCTCTATGGATTTTGTCTTCAAATTTTAGTATTTTGAGATGTTGGGGTTGGTTTGGTAATTTGGTATGTGGATATAGCTCATATGCTTATCTGTGAATGTGGATATTGTTATTATACATATCTGTTGAGAATGTGGATATAGCTTATATGCCTATCCGTTGAAAAAGGGAAAATGAAAAGTAACTTGGAATCATAAGTCGTATGACATAAATATGTGATTTATGTGAATGTATCAGTGTCGGCCATCTATCAATTGCTAATACTTTAGTCATTGTTCATGGTTGGTTTAGTGTATTTCTACTGGGCTGTGGCTCACCCTATATGGGAATATCATTTTCAGGTGCAGGAAGCATGCCACCTCCAAGGACATAGCTTGGGAGGCTAGAGGCGGGCACACTTTTGTTGATTTACTTTTGATGTATTACATGTAAACTCAAGCCAAGGGCTTAACGTGTATGAGTTAGTACTCTTTTGTTGTAACCAAGTGTTAACTTGGAAAGCTGTAAGCCCGTAGGGCATTTTGCTTTTGTTGTTAACATGTAATACTTATGTAATAG